CTCCTTCCTCTCTCCTTATTCATACTTCCTCTTAATTCTTCATTTACCATCCTCACCTCTTTTATTACTTCTCTTTATTCTTTTTCTTCAAGCTTCCTTCTTTTATCTCAGTTTCGTCTTTATTATTCGTATTTTACTTACGTTGCCTATATTCTTGTTACTCTCCTTCTACCTTCCTTACACCTTTCTTTTATCATCCGTATTCTTCCATCGTCACCCTTTATTACCGTTTCTTCTTTATAACCTGTCTAAAACTGTCAATACTGTACGTCTGACTGGTCAACGGAAAGGCAGTTACAGTTACTTCTGACAGACTGGTTTCCTCACAGCCATATTGATCTTATAATATGGCTACAACTGTCAGACATACACGGGTACATAATAAAGTCATCTCACACGATCTCCATCTTATATTAAGTTACATTTTACTGTAATCTTCTTGGATTTTACTGCAGAGTTTTATGTCTTGCAGCACACACACTAAACCTTGTCTCGAGCACCCAACTGAGCCACATCTCATAAGCGGAATAACCTTCATGTCCGCGTACTGTTACTTTATCCTTAAGATGTTACATGCTCCCTGTGCTCCTTGTTACTTGGGTCAGTTACTCATTTGATGGTAACGAGGGTGAGGAAGGTAAACTACAGAGAGACAGGGATAAAAATTTGGTTAGAGGGGTTGGTAGATCGTCCCAGTGGTGAGTGTGTCCATAGCTGGCCTGGCCGACAGCACATGATACCTCCAGTGACGCTGTGGAGAGGAGCTTATGGGGATCATGGTCTTAGGCGTGGCTGTATTGTGATTGTCCATGCTGCTTCTGGAGTAGTGTGTCTGTTTATTTGTATATGAACACACACACACACACACACACACACACACACACACACACACACACACACACACGTCCTCTTTCCGTATTGACTCTCGCGAATAATGATTTAGGTTTACACGGTTGCCCCTCAATTGTCTCTTTTGGGTATTGTTTATTTCTGATACATAACCGATAACTTACATCCGTCTCATGCATAATCCTAAATGGGCATTATCTTATCTGTTATGATAAAAATGCATTGTAAATCTCGTTTTATCTCGACTTTATTATTTTATTATTTGGTATTTTAAGGTTAAGCATTTACTGTGTGTTGTCCTCACTCTTGGTTAGGTTAGTGTTGTCATAAGCTGGACACTGAAGTAATCAAACAGCGTATTTACCTTCCTCGTGGTGGGCGTCTGGGTGTGCTGTAGAGAAATTCCACACGCTGAAATATTCTGTATCTGGATTTACAAAGACTGTATGTTTGTATTATCCTGTAATTGGTGCGATAACATATCTAGTTAAAGTAGAACCTCACTATAATATGGATGTTATTTTGGGACCATTTTTTATGTATTACCTTTAAGTCAGCTGGGTAGATGTGTTGTTATTTTTCCATTTACGAAGATAAATTAACGTAGGGACATTATAGACAGTCTGGGCCCTAGATTTTTGTAAGTTGTTGATCTAATGACCTAATATTAACTAACTTTATAGGGTAAATCTACAGATGAATCCTTCGTCTCCTTTGGTTTGGTGGCATGAGGCAGTTCCATTGTCAATTGGTGAGATAATAGGGCAGTGATGGTGAATGTGTGTGCTGCTTTTGGACGGGTCAGGTCAGGTAGGAGGGAGGGTGGTGATGCAACAGCCGGGCGAGGGTGAGGGGCTACCATGATTGATGGGGCTTATTCGGACCGGGAGAGCAGTAATGCACCTCATTAATTCGCGAGTGTGGTGGTCATGCTGCCTGTCCTCGCGTCCACTACAACCGTCACTCACCCTGCCAGCCTACGACACTCCGTGTAGCGGTGGGCCTTTGTGAACCTTGGCTGTGTGTAGTAGTGATCCTTTGTTTGACACACGCTTATACGTTTACTTGCTCTTGCATATAATTCTCGAACACACACACACACACACACACACACATGAACCAGACGGGTAAGTAGTCCTCAGGCCATGGTGTGATGAGTTTGTTTGTTGTGGTCACCACGGAGGCTGGTTGCCGCTGCCACAACACCTAACACCCCCACGGGCTTCTGACGCTACACTGGACCTCTGTGTGTTTCTCCTAACTGCTCTTTATTGATGTTACAGTTCACTGGGCAATATATGGCATCTACTTCTGGGTCATACTGTATATTATAGTTTCTTTATATGTAATAACGTCGTTTTTCATAATTTTATGTCGGAACCACGAAATGGAAAAAAATAACTTGATACAATACAAAGAAAAATCTGAGAAAATGCGATACAATTCCAATTCCTCACCTAATGATCCTCAAGTACTGCTAAGCGCCCAGGAAATTTGGGCCGCAACTGTACATCAAATACTCTCCTCCTCCCCCGGCCCTCCTTGTCATGTTCTCCCGAGCGACACTGCCATCACACAGTACAAACACTCGCTTTGTTGTGTCGCGAGGTTGCTATTTTTTAACACAGGACATGCTGGGTTATATTTTGTGATACAGAGACACTAAGCATCTTTCAGCCTTAGTTAGCGCTGTGACTTAATGACCACTAGAGATTTGATTAATTTTACTGATATATTTTTTTTAGTGCTCATAAGTTTTAGGTACTCGTAGTATTTGTTTTAGTGTGTGTGTGTGTGTGTGTGTGTGTGTGTGTGTGTGTGTGTGTGTCCGCTCGCGTTACATCGTTCCCACCACATCTACTTGGTCGCTATTTAACTATTACCATGTCTACTAAGGTCTTACAATTAATTTCGACCATTACTACCGTGTCACTAATCAATTACCACCGCGTCTGTTTTGTCACTTAATTAATTGCCACAACTTATATAATAGTCCTCAGTTAATTGTAACATATCTAATTGGTCATTTAATTCCCACAACATCTACTTTGTCTTCTTAGTTACCACTACTTAACTACCAACCATTTCCAGGCTTGATAACCACACCGTGTACTTCAGTTACTAATTGCCAGGCTTAATGACCTGTCCTATTGAATTACCTCTTAAACTGTCTTGATATCTTCATTAAATAATTATACGCAATTTTCTGTTCACCATCACCTCTGGATTGTTGCTGTTGTTTTGTTTACATTAAGCACAGTATAGAAGTTTTGTGATGCAGTTAAGTGAATGCCTGTATTTTTTTACTTTCCCAAATTCATCATCTCACTTGAAAATCCAATAGGTTCACTTAAGTTATTTGCTGTGCTGAGAGGCATAGCATTTAGTGTGTTTATCCATAAGGGGGTTTATTGTGTGACGGAGTAAACAAGACCACGGCCTTATTGACAACAGTACATCAAAATATCTTGCAGGTGATGTTGAGGAATTGGGGCACACTGTAGTCTCGATCCAATAAGGTGATTCACGTGGCTGGAAACTCTCTGTCTTACTTGTGATTGTTATTAGTTGAGTTTAATTGAAATAGATTAGTAATATCCTGACTGCCCGACGACGGAAAGTTAGCTATGCAATAATATTAACGTCATTAGTATCGAATTATTCATAGGTTTACTTACAAGAACTACAGCGTTGATGGCGGATGTAATGAGCTTGGTATGTCCTACTGAGGTGGTGTTATCTCTTGAGGAAGTCGTTAGTTGCCTCATAAATGTGTATATATATATATATATATATATATATATATATATATATATATATATATATATATATATATATATATATATATATATATATATATAAGAATTCTTGAGCAGGAATGTTGTAGGAAGCGGAGTAGTTGAGTTGGTGGTGATGATGGCAGGAGCAGTAATGGCTGGGTAGTGGAGCCATCACCAGATCCATCATCTCCGTCCATCATAGCCAACTCTTAACAACCACGTGGGCCACATCCACTCTCATCCGGCATCCATCATCCCCTGGCCGACCCACGCCTCCCCGCCCACGCTCTCCCGGCCGCCCCCACCCACAGTGCCACCCAACCTCCGTGGGAACTCCCCTCACATTGGCCCGGCAGCACCCAGGCTGCCTGCTTGGCCTGGCTGCTCCACACCCAGGCCGCCTTAGACACCTTCATTCACACCAGCCACATAAACACCACATGACACGGATCATGAGGGCGTGGATGCCGTAGTAGAAAAGGACAGTTTGTATAAGGAAGGATAAATATGGGGTATCAGTAGAAAGAGGATAATTCATTGTACCACGGGGGGTCTGCAGTACAAGAATGCCAGGGTCGGGCGAGTGATGATGTTACCATTGTTTTTACTGCCCTGGCTACTACCGTTATTTACTGCACACATGACGCTGCACGTGTAACACTCACACATACTTTGTCAGTGCCGCCATACACTTCTTATACGATGCACAGATCTTGAAATTAAAACAGTTTATTTTTGCCAGTGTAATACAGATACAAAGTGGCCAACAAGAGCAATATTGATGAAGGGTACAGACCCAGTTTTCCTGTACTCTTACGGAAGATTGTTGACACACAGGACCTGTAGTGCCACACACAGTTCCTGTAGTGTCACACACAGTTCCTGTAGTGTCACACATAGTTCCTGTAGTGTCACACATAGTTCCTGTAGTGTCACAAACAATTCCTGTAGTTCCACACCTGGTTCCTGCAGTGATTCATACGGAGCCTGTATTACTATATGTGATTTCTCTCTAATGATGTGAAGTACAGTTGTTTCTTCCTTACCACTGAGTTAGAGTTCAGTGTTTTGTCACTCCTTTTATTACTACTTAATACATCTCCTCTTCACAGTCAGTGCCATGTGTAGGTCCTCCACCACATGATACTCTCACCATGTGGACATTACTGAGTCTATTTAATGCCTAAACCTGTACTTGTATATATATTTCTCAGAGTAAATATTCGGATCTGACTTCTAACAGTGGCACAGAAGGCGGCTCCTGTAATATGTTCCTCCAACATGGTAAAGGTACAACTTCTTTACATGTGTGATTAGTGTGACGTCTTGTGTGGAGTGTTGCTAACGAGTCTTCTGTCTCTCTCTCACCAGCTGGAGGACATAGAGCGAGCTGCTGGTGACGGCGTGGTGGAGTTCAATGAGATAGAGGAGGACTGGTGAGAGCTCGTAGACTTTGTGATGCTGACCGTAGTGGTGATGCTGTAGTGGTGGTAGGTGCTGTAGTGCTTTTAGTGTACTCTCTAGACCTAGCTGTAGTCGTAATTTTTTCTCTTTATTGAATTGCTAGTTATGTTGTAGCTAGGTACAGTATATACTGTAATTATAGTTAAATGCAACATAGTGTATATTTAAAGTAATTTGAAGAGTAAATAGATTATTATCAGTACTGTATTAAATTATCTATCTGTCTGTAGTATAATGTCTGTTGAAGACTACAATATATAGTGTACTTTGTAGATGACTTTGTTTATTGTAATAATATATGTACAGTCACCCAAAAAAGTCCTGTCGCGAACCATGAACCCCGAGATTCAGACTCGTGAACCCAAAGCAGTAGACACTGATACATTAATCTGTTCATAAATGCTTCGGATTCAAGATTCTGAATCCCGGGGTTCATGGTTCGCGACAGGACTTTTATGGGTGACTGTACATGTAACACATAGTGGCTGTAGTATGAAAATGTAGGTAAACTTCCGATGTAGTATATTGCTGCCAGAACACTGTAGAGGTAGTGAACTGTTGTAGTTGTTTACCGTTAAGACATTTTAGGCTTATGTTTTATTTGTTTTGTTGATGCAATTTAACTGAAAGACAATGTCTTTATTAGTATTTGTTACTTAGATTTGTCATCAGTACAGTACAGTACAGTACAGTACAGTACAGTACAGTACAGTACAGTACAGTATAGTATAGTATAGTATAGTATTGTATAGTACAATAAAGTACAGTACAGTGTACAGTACAGTACAGTACAGTACAGTACAGTACAGTATAGTACAGTACAGTACAGTATAATACAGTACAATAAAGTACAGTACAGTGTACAGTACAGTACAGTACAGTACAGTATAGTACAGTACAATAAAGTACAGTACAGTGTACAGTACAGTACAGTACAGTATAGTACAGTACAATAAAGTACAGTACAGTGTACAGTACAGTACAGTACAGTATAGTACAGTACAATAGTAAGTACAGTACAGTACAGTACAGTACAGTACAGTACAGTACAGTACAGTATAGTACAGTACAATAAAGTACAGTACAGTGTACAGTACAGTACAGTACAGTACAGTACAGTACTGTACAGTACAGTATAGTACAGTACAGTACAGTACAGTACAGTACAGTACAATAGTACAGTACTGTACAGTACAGTACAGTACAGTACAGTAGTACAGTACAGTACAGTGTACAGTACAGTACAGTACAGTACAGTGTACAGTACAGTACAGTATAGTACAGTACAGTACAGTATAGTACAGTACAGTGTACAGTACAGTACAGTATAGTACAGTACAGTACAGTATAGTATAGTACAGTACAATAAAGTACAGTACAGTGTACAGTACAGTACAGTACAGTACAGTATAGTACAGTACAGTACACTATAGTATAGTATAGTATAGTACAGTACAATAAAGTACAGTACAGTGTACAGTACAGTACAGTATAGTACTGTACAGTACAGTACAGTACAGTATAGTACAGTACAATAAAGTACAGTACAGTGTACAGTACAGTACAGTACAGTATATATTAAAAATGTTCACTTACATGATAGACAAGGTTGTACACCTGTTTGAGTATGTTTACTGGCAAATATTTGGTTGGCAGGAGCTATAGTGTCAACAGTTAAGGTTAATTTGCCAGACTGTTGTTGTTAGAGTTGCACTAAGCTGAGTACACCTGTGTTCCCCAGATGTGCGAGCGGCTGCGTGGGACTTGCCAGGGCGTGTGGGCACAGTGCCGCAGGTGGTGAAGAAGAACCACCTGCTGGTGAAGCGGAGGGTGTAGACTGGGGGAGGAGGAAGTGGTGAGCAGTGCTCCCACCCACTCTTGTTACATATGGCCACATCTGACACACTTACTAGTGGTGCTTCCCCGCACTTTATCTCCACCTTTCCTCACCCTCCCTCTTGTCCCCTAGCATTTCTCCCTTTCTTCTTCAGTGTAACCCTTAATCCACTCAGTCACAGTCACACACATTAGTGCTGCCCATTAACCCATTTTTATTTTATTTATTTTTTTAAATCCTTATACTAACTCCTTGCCCACACACCCTGCTCCGTTTACCCCCCACCTCACACCTTTTACCCCATTCCTCCAACACCTACAACCTGTGACATGACATTATACCCAGAAACCTTTGTTCTCTTACCTAAACAACTCTTTCTCAACCCCCCCAAAATCAACACTCATCTCCTCACTCTTCTGTTACCCTTCACTTTTAATTCAAGCTCACGCCCTAAACCAGCTTTCTATTTCTTGATCTGCACACACACACACACACACACACACACACACACACACACACACACACACACACGTACGTACGTACGTACGTACGTACGCACGTACGTACATACGTACGTACGCACGTACGTACATACGTACATACATACGTTCTCCTCCCCTAGGTCCCTCCTCCTGCAGTTCCCCCTGGCCCACCAGCGCCACTACACGAAAAATATCTTAAAACAACGAAGGTTTAATAGCTAAATATGCCGACAAATGTTGTTTTAAAATACTTTTGTTGTTTATTTAACAACACGCCAAATTATTTTTTATTTCAAGTTCATACAAAAGAACTGTCTTAAATCAGTTCTTGCTTGGACAATTCGCTTTTATTTTCGAATAAGAAGAAAAGCAAGTTCTGTATTGTTCTCTTTTTCAGCCAGCTTAACGCTTGTCTCAGTTATTCTTTTATAATTTACTAATATTCAGAATATAATTAGTTGGTTGTTGGGAGATTTTTTTTTATTTTGCTTTTAATAAACCAGTTTTGATCATGTTTGTGTACATACATATATATCAGGCAATAGAACTAATCAGCACAGTATTTATCACATCTGTTGTAATGAGATTCTTAAGTGTGCCTCCTTATTTCCCCGTTCAACCGTGTCAGGATCTCTGTTTATGTTGTGTTTTTCCCCGTTGCCGATCCCCGGAACCCAAGCGGTGGATGTGTGGCTATTTAAGGTGACCTCAAGTACTATGTGTGTGGGCTCGGGGGACTCGTGTCGGACCAAAGCTGAGCCAGGTTTGTTAACAGGCTCGGTCTACGCTACCACCCCACCCCACCCCACCCCACCCCGTCTTCTTTGTCCAGGAATGTTTTGGGTCACCTTTTTGTCATATTGTGGAACGCTGAAATTACTTACTCTAGTTGCTTAAATAAGGAATTTTAGGTTAACTATTTTTACTTGTCTTTATTATTTACCGGGGATAATTTTCCCCGTGATGGTGGTATTTGATATTGGGATTATCTTTTCATACTTACTTATTTTAGAGGACGCTGGAATCAACTCTCCTTATATCTTTTTTGTTATAATTTTGAAGACTTTAGCCATCTTCTTTCATTGACTTGCTTGACAAAGTTACTTTCGGTCATTCTTTTAAGCTTATGTTGTGATAAGGGATCTTGAAGTTATAATTGTGTACTGTTAGCTTCTGATTGAGTTCTTTTACGTGTTAGTTAGGTAGTGCTTAATGATGATTTTTCATGTGTTTACCACGCATTGAATTTTTAAAGACAAAGGGTGACAGTAGAGGTGCACCGTGGTCAGGTTTTCGTAACAGACACCTCAGAAGGTAACAAGTGTCAGTAGACAAGTATAGGGTGTATTCTAGTGTCTTCTCTCCATTGCACCGTGTACTGTACCATATCCGCTGTTGTGTACCACACCTCTTGGTTTTGTCCCGTGTATCATAGCTTCTGGCCATTAATTTGCGCCACTTCACATAAGTAAGTATTGTATTGTGTGAAATAGCGTTTACATTATACGTTGCATTTAGCTTTTACGACTGTTCTTAGTGCTCAATTATGTCTTCATGTGAAAACATATATAATTATCCTTGTTAAAGTTATTACCATTAGTTTTTTATGCCAACAGCTTAAATTCAGAGCAACTTTAATTATTGGTAATTATTTGTTGAGTTTAAGCATACTTTAAGTAATTAGACATCAGCTATATGAAGAAGAATTCAGAATTTTTCCATCTCACATGTTTATTACAAAGGATTTTCGTGTCTTATGTGTTAATGAATTGTATTATTTGTCAAATATTTTGCCAAATAGCACTCGACCAATACCCAGGAGTAATCTCTTGTACCTTTTAAGTATCTGGAAGTATCACCAGTCTGTTTATCCAACTGTGCCCTGAATAAATATACTGATTTACTACACTGTCCTTAATACCATTTATGTAGTCAGTTGGGTAAGGCGGTCAGTGCCGTCTGTACAGTCACGGAGGAAAGTCCTGTCAGTCCTCCGTCCCTTCCACGAACCTCTGAGACTTATGAACCTGTGAATCCGAGACATCACACACAACACCATCTATGAACCCAACAATGTGTGATGTCTCGGATTCACAGGTTCATGAGTCTCAGGGCTCATGGATGGGACGGAGAACCTACAACTTATTTCCGTGACTGTACCTATGGGGTATGTTACATGTACACTTGACATGTGTAATCACCACGGCTGCACTTTCAACTGGAAGACATTAACAGCGGGCTCTTCTGAAACGCCTGTGCTTACACCTCGAGGCCCGTCAATCACGTTCTGTAGAGAGAAGGGTTTATAGTGACAGCGAACCAGATGAAACATTAAGCTTTCCATTACCCAATCGCCATATTTATTTATCTCTCGGTTAATAGCAACTAGTCATTCAGAGTAAGACCTGCAAAACAAAATCTAATATTTAAGTAAACCTGGAGAAAACCGAGTCATCCAATCTCGCTTTTTTTTTTAACCGGTAATAAAGATTTTAAAGCCGGCACATGACTTGGTAGACATCATGTATTTTAATTATTTCCCAAACATGGCTTTAGTAATAAACACTGAAATAAATTGGCCCATTAGCAGACTGAATACTATAGGTAGCTATAGCCAGTGTCTGTCGAGTGAACATAATATGGAACTCTCGAACTCCTAAACTCTGGAGTGTCTGGTTTTAAGAGATCAATAATTATAATAGCGAATTACCTTCATATAAAGTGTCTAATTTAATGAGGTCAACATATGTAATTGATAATTGTAATATTAGTTGCTTCGAATTATAAGACACTGGACCGTCTAGTTTGTGAGAGTCAATAAATATGTGATTGATAATACCGGTAGTAAGGGCGGGTCTGGCCACACACAACCTGGAGCCAGAAAAACAATAATTGGTGCTGGTTTTTGTTGACCTTACGGAAGTGGGTGGAGCTGCTTGTCTGCCTGCCTGCCTGCCTGCTTAGCCGCACCTGCTCGCCGCCACCTCCAGTGTCTGTTGCTTGTCTGTCGCCTTCTCACACACACACACACACACACACACATACATACAGGTGCCATTGGAGAGGATGTGTTCTCATGAAGGTCACGTGCGGATAGATGATTTGCATAGCTAGTTTGTGTGTGCTTGGAGAGATCATGTGTCCAGAGATAGTTTACGTGTACATGGGTAGTTTATATGTCGACGGAGATGTTATGTGTGCATTGACAAGTCATGTGTGTGTTTGGAGTGTTCACGTGTGTGTATAGAGTGGTCGCGTGTTGTATGTAAGGATGGGGTGGCCACGTTTGTGTGTATGGAGTAGTCACGTGTGTGTATGGAGTAGTTATGTTTGTGTATTGAGAGGTCATGTGTGTGAGTATGGTGTGGTCACGTGTGTGCATGGAGAGGTCACGTGTGTGTGCATAGAGTGGTCATGTGTGTGTGTGTAAATGAAAGTGAGACCTGTAAAGCCTGTGGATCCATCAGACACAACGGCACTTCGCTCGATGTCCTTCACTGCTTCAAATAAAGTTAGGCAATCATTCACAACTGGGTCGACTCGGGGTGCCTTGGGTGAGGAACCAGTGGTCGCAAGGAAAAGACGTGAGTTACATCCACTCAGCCGCCACACCTCAATGTAATATATTGATTAATTCTGTAGGAAAACTACCGTCAGTGTATTTCAGTATTGGTTGAGGCAACTTTTCCCGTCTCATATTCTACAATAATATCTCGTGTGAGTTTATTTTGTCATGATGTATAATTTCATCTCGCTAATGGGTATGCTCTTTGCACAAGTCCCGTTGTCCTATAGACAATTATTTTATAAAGTTTGATGGTAATGCCGCTTGAGCCAAAGTGGTATTAACTTACAGTAATTTGTCACAGCTGTTTTTATTATGTGTTTAACTTAATACCTGTCTGTCCATTAGACTTATTGAGTGGTTCTTGTGCGGATGGAATATCGGGTGATGAACCTGTCAGTATATCACGGCGCTCTGCCTCGCTTTATTGAGTTTTGCAAACTTTGTCAAACACATATCATTTACACTTACTTGAAATACATATACATATGTATTCTGTACATGAGTGTGTGTTTTGCTTTTAATACTTGTCTTTACGGTTCTCCCTTTTGAGTTTTCTCTAGCACTAAATCATATACAGTATATTCACCGTTATGTGATATCTCCTAGTTTATTGGCATAGCTACATTTTGCTTGCTTGTATAATGTCATGTCACCTATTGATATTGAACCTAGCGCTTGTCTAAAAAGTTCCTTAAATCTAATAATATTAGTATGTGATGCAACTTAGTACCATCTCTGAAGGAGGTCACTTCCCATTAGAGTTAATATTACTATGTGCCCGTGATGACTCTACACCGAGTCTACAGCATTACTCACAGTACCTCCCCACTACCCCCGTGTGGTAGGGGCCCTGAGTGGTGAGTGTCCTCCAGTGTTACCTTGATGACCCGTGGGCAGTTAGCGTTGTTTACTGCTGCTCTGGTGTAAAGACCTCTATTCTCCGGTAATGGAACTCCAGCAGCAGCCTGTCACCTCTACTTACCGGGCCTCTGGAGCGGTGAGGTAGAGGAGCTCTTGTCTGGCAGGCCGAGATATGACCCATTATCCCAGGATGCAGGAGACAAGGAGAGGGAGGCTGTGGCAGATAAGTTCACTTCCCTACAGATTCCCAAAGATACGTAACGTTAAATTTTCCCTTAACTGAGGATAAAATAACACATTTCTGATTAGAGGAAAAATAGTGCATTAGATTCTTTGAAAATCCGCGCCTCTGTTTGTTTACTTAATTCTTGTGCATCTTGGTGAACAAAATTAAATGAAAAATGGAATGCATTCTCGATTGTTTTGTTTGTTTCTTTGTTATTCCATTTTAGCGTTCAAGTACCCCACAGGTAGCTCCAAGGCGGTACACTTGACCCCAGGCAACTTTCATACATATTCATATTAGCTTTGGTCAGGCCTGAGAAACATACTAGGACATGGGTCGTGTTGGATGTTTGGTCTGTGAAACTTAGCCTTTTATTGAGTCTTGCGGGGCCAAACATTTTTTTCAAGGGCTAAAGAGTAACTCGGCTAAACACTTTATAACTATCACTGGTTAATTCTATTTGGCATTTTATGTGAGTTTATGATTAACATCTTGGAGAAGCGTTGTCTTGACTCTACTTAAGATTACATTCACTTGTTCTCACCTGATTGCTCATCCGTTTCCTGAATAACACTGACCAGGCACTTTATTTTCTTTAAGTACTTAATACCCGGCACTTACTTTACCCATCATCCTAGCAACATTAAACTGACACTTACTTTATCTATATACATAAGTTACAATAACCAATCACGTGATACTGAATAACACTGACCTAACATTTTAGTTTTTTCGTTACGTTAATTAGACAGTTTACTTCTTGTCTTACCTGGTTCTTAAATACACATGATCGGACACCGTACAGTAGGTTCTCTGGAGTTGTGTGTTGGTCCCACCATCTCTTTTCATCCACGGCATCATGTGACCTGCTCCTCGCCAGCTGACCTGCCTGATGTCTCCTCAAATGACCTCTGACCTCTAAAGAGACATCGCTGGCGTCTTCTGGTGTTGGGTTGCCTTGTCTCGCTATAGTTTACAATTTATGGTGTCTGCTGAGCTCCCGCTTCACTGTGGCATCTTGCAGCAGAGAGTTATCGTCGTGTGCTCTCTCTCTCTCTCTCTCTCTCTCTCTCTCTCTCTCTCTCTCTCTCTCTCTTAATATATACACAGAGACACTCATAATCCTAGGTGTACACATACATAAGCCATCATCGACAGGCAGGTATACAACAAAGCCAGTACTTACACCACAAATTGAAAACCCCCACAAAAACAAATAATAATACAATTTATTTTCTAGGCATCTTATTGAGTAATATTCCAAGACTTAATATGAGATTCAATTAGCTTATTCTCTACACTTCTTTATATATGTCACTCGTTCCTCGGAGTTCGTAGGAAAGGCTCAAAGCTCTCTGATTCAATATCCATTAGAAGACTTTGTGTGTCGCCTCTTGACATTTCAGGAGGAAACAAAAATAAGCAATTGATTTCCCTCGGCGTTTAGTAATTTCCTTCACGAAGCAGAGGAGACAGGTGTGGCGACAGTAATTTTACACGTCTGGATATTATTGTAATCTATGTATTTACAACTTCGAATACAAGTCCATAAACTGTATCACTTTATGGTCGAAATATTAGTATCATATCGTCATCTTCATTATCTAACTCAAGTGTTTAGACAATATCACATGAATAACCAGAGGGTATATACGATAGTTAGAAAAATAATTCCTGGGCATAAAGTTATGTTATCCCCTCGTGTGCAGTTTTAAGCCAGTGGGGAAAATTTATATATATATGGTGGCATCTGCGTTCGGGTCATATTCCTCACTTTGGTTGAGTGCTAGTATGAGTCAGTTCGTATAAAGTGTTCGTGTATATTGTTGTCAGTGTTAGAGATTCAGAGTGAGTTTATTTTGCTAATGAATTTTTATGTGATGTGACGTAGCTATTTAATACATGACCTAACCTAACCCTGTTTAGGATGACATATACAGTATACATATATGATAATAACCACATAGGTAAAAAGATAACACGAAGTTCTTAAGCTGTTTTGTGTTTTTTTTAAGCAAATAGAAAAAATATTATTCACTTGACTGAAAAATTAAACAAAAATTAAAGTCGTGGCACTTCTGTTATTATTTTTCAACAAACAAACTAAAACAAACTTGGTTTACAGAGATGAAATGACACAAAATTACAGTGGTAGGTGGTATAGTGTGTGTGTGTGTGTGTGTGTGTGTGCGCGCCAGCCGTGATCTGTAGTAGTGAACCAAGTGGCCTGTTTTTCCTCTGCCAACCTC